GCATGTGTTCCTCTAATCCTCCTCCTCCTGCTACCTCATAGAATCGACGCGGAAAAAGAAGAAAATTCTTCATTTGTCAATACAGTCTATGGGTGTGGCTTTTGAGTTCTGGAGAAACAATAGCAGGCGGGGTGGGGCAGTGAGTAACCTACTTAACACCTTTGTTTGAACAGTAGCGGAACATGCACAAAGAAGGATGATAAAAAAAAATCAAAAGTTAGTCTGTGCAAAATAAAGAGAGGAAATTGTGGAGGACCATGATCACAGACGCCCTCAAGATACATGGAACATAAAATCAAAAAAAAAGAATCATATAGTAGCTTAACAGGGCCAAATATGGATGATGAATGGTAAAAAAAAACGTACTTAGAGAAACAAAAATCAGGACGTTATGGAGGGCCATGACCACTCATGTCCTGAAGATGTGTGGGTTTCGCACTAATGCAATTAGGTAAGTCATAAATCCGTCTCTTTTCTCCTTATTTATAAATTAAGTCTTAAGGTTGACTAGAATCTTAAGTGTCGGGTGGTAGCCAGTCTAGGAAAATAAAAACTCTGAATTCAAAAATCTAAAGACGACAACAGGAAACAACTTCACTATTATTTCCAAGAAGTTATAGTAATTCACCGATAATAAAGAAAATGGAATCTGTGGAGGGCCACGACCTCCTGAAAAATATGGCATTTAAAAAGTGTGTTTTAGTAAAGCTCTATGGTCGGCTATGAAATAATTTTAAAAATCATGATATTTATTCAGTATTTTGTAATTGGGCAGAGTCGATAGATTTTAGCCCCCCCCCCGTCGTTTAGGGTTTAATGCATTTGAACTTCCTGGGCACAGAGTTCCTTTATCATGGCTATTCGTTTTTTTTTTGCTAAATTTTGCTACTTCACAGTGCCATTCGCAATCTTCCTGAAACTTCTTTTTTAATTTGCAACACCATTTTAATTCGATTCGCCATTTCCAGATAACCTAGTCCGCCACTTCCCGAACTTACTTCTCAATGTCATGACAGGCCCGTTCACCACTTACCAAGACCATCAATTTCACCACTTCCCGACATCTGTCGTTCGATTTACGAATGCTAAGAAAGCCAGAAACAAAATGCTTAACAAAGAGGAAGTTTTAAGGTTGAAAATTTCGTCACTTCCAAACACTCAATTTCACCATTTTCCAACATCCCATTTCGCCACTTTCAAACATTCAATTTCTCCACTTCCAAACACATCATTTCATCACTTCTTAACAATGCATTTCGCCACTTCTAAACACCTCGTTTCGTCACTGCTTAACAATGCATTTCGCCACTTTCAGACACCTCATTTCCTCAGTGCTTAACAACGCATTTCGCTACTTCCAAACACCATCTCTACAGCATTTCATGATACTACGTAAGTTCCATCCGAATGGAGAATTGTGTTTAAAAACAGTAAAATCGATCTTGTTAACCGAGCGCTTCTCTCTGGCCCAATCGGTTAAGGCAACGTAAGGCTATATGACGGTTCCGTATAGGGTACAGGTTCGATTCCTGTCGGAGGACGCATATTTTCTATAAAAATTTCTCGGACATTCAGGCCGGTTAATGTTAATACTGTTTACTATAAACAGAGCATTTACTAAAATGTTTTATCTATAAAAAAG